GGGAAAAAAAAAAATTGTAAGGCTCCGATATTTCTTAATTTTAACCTTGGGAAGACAAAATTGGTCGAGGAAAATTTTTTCACTTACACGCACAATGAAGTTCCAAGTCGGTTCAGTAGCTTCCACCTTATGGCCATTGGGATTGTACACCACACCACTTAATGTTTTCATCCACTTGAAGACGTGATATCGCTTACGGAGCTTTCGAAGCCGGTCGATGATAAATTTGTGGTCAAAGGTCATACCGAACCGCTCGTTCAGCATGCTCGATGCACACATGAGAGCATGCATGTTGACTCTGCCAACCTCGTAAAAGCCTTTCTTTTTTTGATCTATCAAGAAATCCACAAACACTTTCTCAACCTCTTTGGTCCACTCTTTGGTGTAAAACACCTTGTCTTGTGAAATTGCACCCTTAAGCTTCTTGGTTGGAGCCATGCTATAGTTCAAAAGTGACAAGAGTTAGAAATTTAATTTTGATGGTATATTTCGTATTGTGGAGTTTGGATGAAAGAGTTGTGCACTTTTTATAGATACTACCAACACATCTCAAATGATCAAGTCTTGGATGTTCTACCATGCATATTTGGAAAAAAAACAAATTGGACTAGGATTGGAATATATTCTTTTTAACTTAAAGATCTCAAAGGATCAAGTCTTGGATGTTCTACCATGCATATTTGGAAAAAAAACAAATTGGACTAGGATTGGAATATATTCTTTTTAACTTAAAGAAGATAAAGACAAGTATGTTGTGTCATTATGTCATATTTTTGAATGACATGTCATAGGAGGAATCTGAATATATTTTATGACCCCTTGCACTTAGTTTGGTAAATGACAATTTTATTTTTAGGATGTGAATATATTTCATATTGGGCTCGATTTTGGTAACATGTAAATCTAGACATACACAAAAGTGTTTTCACATGTAATTGTACTCACATCCAATTCTCAAACTACATTCATACTAATAACTTCTACAAATTACAGGGAAGTAGTATAAAAATTACAGGGAACATACTACTGTAGCAATGTTCTAAGACAAGTCCCCAAAACAAAGAAGATTTCCAATTACATTCATCCAACATAAACAACCCAAAAGCAAACATCAACCAAGAAATCAAACAACTGTTTTGTCCACGAGACCCACAAAATTAACAAAACTAACAAAATTAACAGATTTTGACAAGGTACAACAATGAGAGAAGAATTATAGCAGCCCATAATCTTTTGATCTTATTCTTGCACACAATCAATGCATTGTTCATGTCATTCACCTCGTTCATTGCCACCAAGAGCCGAGCTTCCATTTCATCATTCTTCAACTTGTGTTGCTCAATTTGATATTGATGTTTATTAGACTTTTCCAGCAAACCGGGTATAATATTCCTTGCCCTTTCGCAAATTTCCGGATCGTACCATATAAAAAATCCGCAATAACCAACGCTCTGCAATTTTTGTTACAAATGCTTGTTACATTTACATTAGGCAAATTAAAAACAAAAATGAAAACAAAAACAAACAATTTAATTACCCCATATTTAGGGCATGCCCAATATCTTCTTTCCGGATTATTTTGGGTCCAAGAGGTCTTCAAGTACACTTTTTCTCTACAATTGCAGGTCATCTCCATTGGATCACTCTATCAAGTCATAAGAGGGAATGCGAAAATACAATTTCACATTTAAGTTAAACCAAAATTAAACCATAATGAGATAATGAGAAAAAACAACAATTACTCAGTCAAGGTCTTACAAAATTAATTTCGAAGTTCGAACTTTTCACTCAAAATTCAGCAAAAGAACAGTGACTATCAACATTATGATTTTTCTACCAGAACAGTTATTCATAGGACAATGCTTGGCCATTCTTCAGGTAATTTTAAGTTTAAACCATCATAAAATTAAAAAAATATATTCAGGTAAAAATATCAAATTCTTTAACTCCGCAACCTAACGAATCATCAACTTTGATGAATTGGATATAGTTCTGCAATTTCAAAAAGGTTGAATACTTGATTCGTTATAAATATTACCAAATAGCAACCATTAAATTGACAAAGGGTTTTAATTTTTGAAAACCCTAGGATGCTGGAGATAGCAATGAATCGTACAGTCGCAACTTACCTCTTGGGGATTTTGGTTGGGAAGAAGGTGTTGGCTAATGTAGCGTCGAAACCAGCGCACAATTGGAGTCTTCTTGAATTTGATCGACACGGGGTGTTGGTGGGGAAGAAGAGAGGTTTTGAGAGAGTGTGTGTTCGTACAGATGAAATGAATTGATGAGGGTAATTTAGGCAAAATATTAATTGGTGAAAACAATCTTTATTTTTGTGGAGGGTGAATGTACCAACCAAATGGGATATTAATTGTTTGGGCTCATATCCATCACGTGAAAAAAGAAGCCAAACATGTTTATTGGAAAGATACAATACCACATATAACTGTGGGCCACACTATGACATATTAAATCAAGCCCAATCCCACTTTTCAACCAAACCCACCCTAAGTCATATCCTCAAGAACGTTGAAACTTATTGTCCAGTTAATATAATCCTCAAGTAAAAATCTATATCTATATAATTGCTAGCAATTTATTTAATAAACTTATTTTCGTTTTCCATCTTTTTTCGTTACAATCTTATGTCATTATTATTATCTTTTGTTTTTTTACATTAAACCACCATATCCCATTAATGCTAAAATATTTATTTCTTGTTAATTTTTTTAGGTTAGTTAACAATAAAAATTTTTATATTATATGTTATTCGAGTAATAACTATAGTTTTATTCTATCATATAATAATTATTATTAATAACATTACTTAATTATGAAAGTTAAATAAACATAAAAAATTATATTCTAAAACCTTTTGCTCAAATTATTTATTCTAAAATCAACATGTTAAGTTTTCAGCTATGAAAAAATTACATTATTTCAAATCTCTAAATTACAAAATTACATTATTTAATACATCTTATGCCATCAATAAAAAAATTCATGTGTATTAAATAGTTATGTATTGTTTAGTTTAATCAATCATCAAAATTTTTCAAAACATGATACAATTATCTAACTATAATATTATATGCATATAGTAATGTATAATATTTTATTACATTTGTGCAAATACACAAGATCGAATACTAGTTTGAATACACAAGTAGATTTCCTATGAAAGCATGCCCAATCTGAAAGTGTACTGGAAAACCCATACCCGTTATTTACTAATAACTGCACATGACACAACAAAACTTGAAATTGAAAACCACAAGCATTGGACAACGAAACGCAACTTGAGTGGTAAGACGCTTCACCTATAACCCAGAAGAAATGGGAACATATCCTCTTTTAAAATAGAAAAAAAAAAACAACAAAAAAAAACCCCACAAGGCATTGAAAAAGAATCACAAAAAACAGTATTCCAAAACAACTAAAAATAAACAAGAACCATGTAAAAAGCAATACAAAACCAAGAATCACTCTCTCATGCATCACCATCGTCATCAACAACAACATCCTCATCACTCAAGTCGAGGTCCGCAAGCAGCTCGTCTAACGGCACACTCGGCAAATCCTCACCATCCGTCATTGATGCCATTTCCGATGGCTGATATTCCTTATTCCGGTACAGTGACAGGTTAAACCTCAAATCAGGATTCTCCTCCAAATCCCTCAAAAACTGCTCATACTCCATATCTAACTTCTCCGCATTATTATCCTTAACACCCTTACCACTATTATCAACTTCCATATTCAGAGATTTAAGCTTCCACGAACGAGGCTTCCCCTTCTTCCTCTGCCGTTTTTCCTCATAGCTCTTTTTATCAATACAACATCCGGAAGAACAAGACCCTTGTACTTATTCAACTCAATATCATTACTATTCGCTCCATATATATCATAACCGAGAGCATAATCGCCCGGATTCAAGAGATGTCCCACATGAGTCCTCATGTTGAAAATCGTATCGTTTTTGCCGAAATCCGACACGCGTGCCACCTGGGCATCGGCCAAAACGTACTTCAAGTTCAAGCCACTAATATAAACCTCACTAGACACAGGCTCCACATCCAAGACTATATATTCGACGAGCTGCCTGCTCGAGAGCAAAGCCTTGAACGAATACCTCCAGTACTGCTCTGCATCCAAGAAGCTCTGCATCCAAGAAGCTCTGCCTGAGGGTAAAAGGGTCCAGCAAAGATATGCTGTTGCTAACCTTGACGCATATCACGAGTGGCCCGAAATTTCCCAAACCGACCGCAACTTTTGGCGGGAGGCAAATGGGGCTGATCTCGACTGAAAAGGTGAATTTGTAATTGTAATTATTGCTCTTAGAGTCGTGCGAAACGAGCTGCTTGTCACTTCAGCTTCTGACTGGCGCAACTTTACCCACAAACTCGACAAACTTCAAACTGTGACTCCTTTTGTTAAAGAAAAAATCAATCCCGTGATCCATTTGCTTTATCTTGATGGCATTTTTAGCCGCATCGTGTTTCAGTATAAGCTGTTCGAGATAGAAAAAGGTTCGCCGGTGGGAAATATTCTGCCGCAGCTGGACTACAGCCACCCACTGGTCCGGGTTAGCCTCAACCCTTGAACAAGACTCGCACAGCTGGTCCTGATATACTCGACTGTGTAGACCTGCTGAAGGAAGACGTTCAGGACTTCCTTTTGGACAGTTAGCTTGACCTTAATCCTCTTGGAATGGGGCTCGGTCCAGATAAACTCCGAGTTAAACAATTTGACGATGTTGCGGAGATTCTTGAGCCGGTTGAGGCAGAATGTGAGGAGATCTGTAGATTCGAGCTCGGCTTTGATCCATGTTCGGGGAGGCTGAAGATAGCTTTCGCAGTCAGGGCAGTGGATTATGATGACTTGCTTCTGAAGCCCCTCTGTGATGTCAAATTCGGAACTTAGGCATTTGGCGCACATATTGGCTGCGTCGGGCTGCACGGGAATGCCACATTTGCAGCAGAGGACACTGCCGATTGTGTGTGGGACTCTGAACATGCCGTTATCCTCGTCCATGTCTGAGAAATTTAAGAAATGTGGGAAAAGGCGACGATTTTAATAACGAAAATTAAAATCTGGGGAGGAAAAGCTGTGTAATATCTGATTTCTGATCAACTAATCTAACAGATAATAGAAGTCTCTTGTAATTCATCTATATCATACATCCATGACACCAATAGGTAAGAAAAGGTAGGTAAGGAAGACAAAAAAACAAGCACAATAGAACAAACAATTTATTCCTTTCAAACTGAAATGGCAATGTGTGTAGTGGGTACAAGGACATCTATGCACCAAGAATTTTTATCCTCATCCATGTCTGAGAAATTTAAGAAATGTGGTTGATGAGGAAGAAAAAAAAAGGGGGGGACAAATTTAATAGTACAGATAATGAAAACGATAATCTGGGAAGGAAAAGCTGTTTAATATCTGATCAACTAAATCTAACAGGTAAGGTAATCAAAAGTCTCTTTAATCTTCATGGCTGAAACTGAAGCATGGGTTGGCATGTAAACCAGGTGATACTACAAAGTTAACAGCTTATTTACCCCATTGGAGCAAAATTCAAAATACAAATACATATACTAACACAAACACAGCAATAGTCTTGAAATTCAAAATACAACAATCCAAATGACATGAATTTGACTGCAGGATTATAAGCATTATGACATCAATCTACACACACCAAATGACATCCTCACCAACTCATAAAATCAGACACCAGCTTTCAGAGCTAACGACAAAAATTATGAGCAGACAATTATTAAGGGTAGCCAAAACACATGTCTGTAAAATTGGTTCTGGACAGTTGTGATAAAAGTACATCACCATCTTCAAACTGAAAAACTTCATTTTCACAAAGCAATATGTAAAAAAAGAGAAGACTCCTACAACACTAAGAGAACTGAAAAAATATGATGAACAGATAGTCCATATGAACTGAACCCTCCCTTATCCAAGGCTCAGACACCAATCCCGTAAGGAAGTTCCTAAGAACTCGACTGGAAATCTACACAAATTTCATCATCCACCTCCTAAAATAGCTAAAATTCAGCAATGTAAGAGAAATCCCTGTACCTATTCCCTTAAGCTTCCAACCTAGCTTACATGAACCATTTTTAATATTTTAAAATGTAGTAACTACCTTTAAAATCTGAAAGTGGAGTCGGAGGCGACTCACGGACTCAGGCGAGGCGCGGAGATGTCCGAGGCGAGACGAGGAGAAGGTGTCGCAGAGACGGTGTCGGAGTAGCCTTTGTGTCGCATACGCAGAGGCAAAGGCGGACGTGTTGAGATTTTGAGATTGGGAAATGAAACCAGTAAACCCTACAGTTTGATTTTCTTTTTTTGTTAACAAGTGTTGATTTGATAAAATAGTGTTGATTTGATAAAATGTGGTATAATTACTTTTGTGGATTTTAAATAATATTAATATGAAATGATTAAAATTAATTTAATGTAACAGTACGAGAGAAATATAATAAATTTATAATTAATTAAAATTATAAAAGTGGATAAATAATTAATTAAAAATGTGTAAAATGATTAATTGATATTATATAAATAATATTGAAGATAATTAAAATTAAGTAAAATTTTGAGTTGAAATGAGTTTGGATTAAAAAGCTTTATATCCAATCACGCTCTTAATATTTACCTTATATATATAATATAAATTTTAAAAAAAAAAGAGCGGCCGGGCGGGATTTGTTACTCGAACTTGGAACAATGCATGTTTTGACCTGCTCGAAATGCTTTGGGTCAGGCCGGATTGGGTCCAGGTCATATTGCCCGAAATGCGAGCAAAACCGTATTCTATGAACATTGTAGTTAAATTAATTAAATATTAAAATAATAACGATTAAAACTGTCTAGACGAATGAAACGAGATGTTGATTGATATAGCAAGACAAAAAAGCTCGGCGAAGACCTACCACTTGGTGGCTCGACCTCGGCATTTCAGATCCCCTCTTGGCGAGGGGAAGCAGGTCGTTTGTTTATGTTTGCTCGACATTGGGTCACCTTGGTGGGATGTCTCGGAAGCTCGACGTGGATGTACTCCAGATTGATCCTAAGTCTACAGTTAGTGGAGAGCTAAGGGGTCGTATGCTCGACTGAGTGATGTGGTCGTTTTCTTGTAAGAACTCGTCATGGAGGGTCAGTAAGAGCCTTTAGCTTGGTCATGCTAGTGAGGTCGGTCTCGGGGGTACAATAATGATTTCGGGTTCGTCGATTTAATACCAAGCTTCAAATAATTACAGAATTCATAGAAAAAAAATTGCATTATATTGTAGATTTGTTAAAATAAAAGGCCATTGTGAGATGAAATGAAAATAGATTTTATATCTGGTGGTCTCTAATATTTCTTGACTATAATATCTAGTGTAATAATTTATAAGTATAATACACGTGTACTACACGGGTGGTTGATAAAATATTAAATGTATAACAAAAAATAAAAGAAAAAAATAATGTTTATATATTTTGTTGAAGTTGAAAAAAATAAATAAGGACCAATAAATAACAATTTATAATAAAGAACTAAGTGAATTAATATGGACAAAGCAAAAAAATTAGAAAGTGAGATAATATGCACATCATAGAAAGAAGATAATAATTCTGTTGCTATTTGCCAACAGAATAAATCCGTTGCTATTTACAAATAGAATAATCTGTTGCTAATACAATATTGAAAGTATCTGTTACTATTTTGTTGTTATTATTACCAACACAATAAATCGATTGTTATTTACCAACGGAATAATTCATTGCTAAGACAATTTTGAAAGTGTCTATTGCTATTTACCAACGGAATAATCTGTTGTTAAGACAGTTTTGAAAGTGTCTGTTGTTATTTGCCAACGGAATAAATTCATTGCTAATTACCAACGGAATAATCCGTTTGAAAGTGTCCGCTGCTATTCCGTTGCTATTTAGTAACTGTATTTTTTGTTGCTAAGACAATTTTGAAGGAGTCCATTGGTATTTTATTTGTGTTTACTAACAGAATATTTTCATCATTATTTGCCAATGGAATACAAAGATGTCATTTTCTGTTGCTATATTTTGTTAGTATTTTGTTGGTAATCTAGTTAAAAAAAATTGTGTGTATAATGCATTGTTAATCCGTTGGTAATCACCAACGGAAAAGTTTCTGTTGGCATTTTGACAATTTCTTGTAGTGGCTGCGTACTTGAGTTTGAGTTTAATTTTATGCTTTATTTTCCAGAAAAAAAAAGAAAAAAAAAACTCCCCCTAAATATTACTATTAAATCCTCAACATGATTCTACTTAGAATGTGAGGGCAATTCATCAATTAAAAAAAAATGCAAACAACAGTTGACAACATGAGCCACGTGTCAACTCCTAAAATGTGCTCCTATTTCCTCATTATATTAGAGGGTGGATATGTCAAATGCAATTTGGTTGGTGTTAGGTTCAAACGTGAGACACGATGAATTCATGAAGATCCTGCTTTCTAGTTGAGTTAGAAATTCATTCAAGTCCACCAATATGAATAACCTTAGACAAACCAAAAGAAATATAAAATTATTCCAACACCCCTCACTCACTATATATATATATTTTCTCAAAGAAATTGCACCAGATCAAACCTGGCATTGCTCAAACTTAGTAAAAGATTATGGCTGAAGGAATAAAGCTGAAAGTGGTGATGTACCCATGGCTGGCCATGGGCCATCTCACCACATTCCTGCACTTATCCAACAAATTAGCAGAAAGAGGCCACCAAATTTTCTTCATCCTCCCTACCAAAACTCAGTTCAAATTAAACCAATTCAATCTTCATCCAGACCTCATCAAATTCATACCAATAACAATCCCAAACGTCCAAGGCCTTCCTGATGGCACCGAGACTACCTCAGATGTACCTTTTCCCATGTTTACACTTCTCAGACATGCCATGGATCTCACTCAACCCGACATTAAAACCATCCTACAAAAACTGAAACCCCATTTCGTGTTCTTCGATTTCACGCAATGGTTGCCTGCTCTAGCTCGACGATTGAAGATCAAATCTATTCTTTACTGCATTATAAGCCCTGCTTCTGTCGGGTTCGTTTAATTTGATTACTTTATAAATACAATTGTTGCCTAAATTAAAAAAGGTTGTCATTGATATTAGGTACCTTTTTCGGAACGAATCCGAAGCCGAAGCTTTCATGGAGCCTCCACCAGATTTTCCATCACCCAAAATAAAGCTTTACAAACACGAAGCCAGAATGGTCGAAAAAATCAACAACGAAAAAGAATTTAGAAGTGATATGAAGTTTGTAGAGCGGATGATCATGGCTGCTAACGAGTCGGATGCCATAGGTTTCAAGTCCTGCCGAGAAATGGAAGGCTCGTACGCGGAGTTTGTCCAAAAAGAGTTGAAAAAACCGGTTCTTCTAGCTGGTCCGGTTCTGCCCGAGCCACCCACGTCAGCACTAGACGATAAATGGGCTAATTGGTTAAGCCAATTCAAGCCCAAGTCCGTTATCTTCTGTGCCTTTGGCAGCGAGGCCCGACTTAGCGCAGCCCAATTCCATGAATTGGTATTGGGCTTAGAGGTTACGGGCCTCCCCTTTTTTGCAGCTCTGAAGCCGCCGATTGGGGCGGAGACAGTTGAAGAGGCTCTGCCTAATGGTTTTATGGAGAGGAATAAGGAAAGAGGGGTTGTGTATGGCGGTTGGGTTCAACAACAGTTGATTTTAAGTCATCCTTGCGTAGGATGTTTTGTGACGCATTGTGGGTGGGGTTCTTTGTCGGAGGCTATGGTGAATGAGTGCCAATTGGTGCTAATGCCTCATGTGGGTGACCAAATTATTAATGCAAGATTGATGGGTGAGGATTTGAGGGTTGGGGTGGAGGTCAAGAAAGGAGAAGAGGATGGGTTATTTACGAGGGAGAGTGTGGCCACGGCAATCAAGTTGGTCATGATTGATGACGGTGAGATTGGGAGAGAGATTAAGGCGAATCGTGCTAAATTGAGGGATTTAATGTTGAGGCAAGGCTTTGAGGATTCTTATGTTGATGATTTTGTTCGCAACCTGCAATCCCTTTTGTAGTTCCAATCAACTGGATTGTTGGCAATATTCAATAAAAGCATTTACACTTCAGCTCTGTTGAACCTCGTATTATATTGGTTAAGAAAGATTTTTACCATTGCTGTTTACCAAAAGAATAATCCGTTGCTAATACAATATTGAAAGTGTCTGTTGCTATTTATAACAACAACAACAATAACATACCCAGTATATTCCCAACGAAATAAATCCGTTGCTATTTTTCCAACGGAATAATCCGTTGCTAAGACAATTTTATAAGTGTATGTTGCTATTCCGTTGCTACTTACCAACGGAATAAATCCGTTGCTATTTACCATTAGAATAATTCGTTGTTATGACAATTTTGAAATAGTTCATTGTTATTTGCCAACGGAATAAATACGTTGATATTTCCATCGTAATAATCCATTGCCAATACAATATTGAAAGTGTTTGCTGCTATTTCGTTGCTATTTAGCAACGGATTTTTTTTGCTAAGACAATTTTGAAAGAGTCTGTTTCTATTCTGTTGGTATTTTGTTTGTGTTTACTAACAAAAATATTTCCTTCACTATTTGCCAACGGTATACAAAGATGTCATTTCCGTTGCTACATATTGTTAGTAATCTGTTTAAAAAAATTGTACATATATCCCCAATGGAAAATTTTCTGTTGCTAATTTCTATTAGTATTTTGACAATTTCTTATAGTGATGCAAGCCTGTCTGAAGGTTCTTCATCATGGACGATCTGTACAAAGCATAAATGAAACCGTTAGTCTTAATTTCCAAAAAAAGAGTCTGGAATGAATCACATACTACCGACCCATTAGTCTATACTCGATTTTGTACAAAATCATTTCAAAGACCATTGTTTCTCGGTTGAAGAAAGTCCTGGGACCCATTATTTCAGAAAATCAAAGTGTCTTTGTCCCTGGAAGGTTGATTGAGAACAACATTATTTTGGCTTACGAACTTCTACATTCCCTGTCTAAGAAATATACTGGTCGCACGGGGTGGATGATACTCAAACTTGACATGAGTAAAGCTTATGATCGAGTAGTGGAATTTACTGCAAGCAGTAATGGAAAAGAAAGGGTTTCCTAGCCAGTTCAGTAGGTTGATTCTTGACTTCATCTCCACGGTTAGTTTACTTTCTCCATAAATGGTAGCCACTGTGACAATGTAATTCCCACCAGGCAGAACGCCTGCAGGGACCCTAGACAATGGTGTTCTCTTTCGCCTTTTTTTGTTTCTTTTTTGTGTGGAAGGTTTTTACGCTTTTCTGCATCAGGAAGAACGCCTGTGAAATTTGTAGGGATGTGATGCAGCAGATAGAGTTTGAGAATTTTCCGCCTTCTCTTTGCGGACGACTCTATTATTTTTACTAGCCTCCACGGTGGATATGGAAAATATCTTGCATATACTAGCTCATTGCAAAGCTGAAAAAACAACTATCACATTTTCTCCAAATATTTCGGCTTAGTTACGACAAGAAATTGGAAATCTATTAGGGATCCAGGAGTTTCAGGCACATGAAACCTATCTCGGTCTCTCGTCGATAGTTGGACGTAATAATATCTGCACCTTCACCAACATTCGAAAGAAAAGGCTAAAAAGTTGGAATCAACATTTTTTTTTTCTTCAGCAAGAAAAGAAGTTATACTCAAAGTAGTCATTCAATCAATGTCGATCTATTTCATGAATTTATTTAGATTTTTGAGCTGCATTTGCAAGCAAATTACAAGCCCGGTGTGAAAGTTTTTTTTTTTTCTCCTTTAGGTGGGAGGGTCAAAAGATGGAGTTAACAAACTATCTTGGGTAAAATAGAATTATTTGTGCCAATCAAAACATAATGGAGGGCTTGGCTTTTGATATGTGAAGATCTTCAATCGGGCAATATTGGCAAAACAAGTTTGGAGTATTTCCAGTCGCCCTAATTCCCTTGTCACAAAGGTTTCGAAATCTAAATATTTCCCTCTAAAAAAATTTTCTTGAGGCAGTTGCCAGGTCAGATTCCCCTTTTCTATGGAAACGTCTTATGTGGGGACATGATGTCATCAGAATGGGGTAAGTTGGAGGATCGAATATGGTTCTCAAATTAAAATTTTCTTGAACCCGTGGATCCTTCGACATTACTATTTCTATACTTTCACTCCTTCTTTATTGGGCCTGAAAAGGGTACATGATCTCATCGGCGTACATGGGAATTGGAATATAGACTTAATTAATCTAGCTTTTCATCCAATCGATGCGAACAAAATTCTATCAATCCCTTTGAAATATCCTGCCACGACAGGTTATCTAATATGTTATTTTGAAAAAAAAAATTCCATTTATTCAGTTCGTAGTGGTTATCGCCTTCTTCAAAATTCAATTGTTGATGGTCCAACCTCGAGCACAAGTGGTCCAGCGGTTTGGTGGCGTTTGCTCTTGCGATTACATTTTTTGACCAAAATAAATATTCATGTGGCGTTTATCACATCGGATGCTCCCTTCAGGGGAGAACTTCCATTGAAAACATATTAATTCAGATGTTAATTGTCCTAGATGTGGGTGTTGGCAATCAAATAACCACGTTCTCTTTGATTGTTGGTGGGTGACGAAGCTATGGAGACGGTGTGGTTGGTGGGGTGAGATCTCAAAATGGCGGGGGGAAACATCCACAGTTAAGTCTTGTGAGCATATCAGAGGGCTGCAAGAAATCAGACTTCAGGTTTTTTTATTATGTTTCTGTTGTGCTCGTTTAGCAGGATAGAAATATACTTTTAAATGGTGGTCGTTTGAGTAATATTGACTTGATGATCAATAAAGGCTTCAGATGGGTGGAGGAAGAGGACTACGACAAGGCCCAAGTTGCACTATTTGCGATTCTATTAGAAGCTTCGTAAAGGACCACTTGTTGGGTTCTATTAGGAACGACAACAACATGCACGATTTAAAATTTGAAAAAATAAACCCTAACACAGTGGAATCTATAGTTAGGGTTAGGACATTACCATTTAAAATTTTTGCCAACTCAGAGATGTTTCTGATTTCCTTTGATGGAGATTGTCTGTTTATCACAACCCAATCGATTGAAGGGTTTGGCCTTTGTCGATTCTAATCGAGCGTTGAATCACGAACGGATCACCGGATTAGGCTCGTCGGGCTCAGGCCAGTTTGATCGGATTTGGGCTGCCTGGACTCGGGTTGAATTGATCGGGTGGGTCTGGTCAGGTCGCGGGTCGCGGACAGGTTGGCTGGGACTGGTGCTGGTCGAGTCTGATCGCAGACGGAGCACGGGTCACTGGCGCAGGTCGCGGACGGTGCGCGTCAGGTGGCTGGGACGTGCGGTCGCGGGACAGACGCGGATGGACGCTGTGTTCTCGAGCACGTGCGGTCGTGCGCTGCGGGACTCCTACGCCCGTGAGGACTAGGCGTGTGGACAGAGGCGTCGTGCGCATGNGACTGCGTGTGGTGGTCGCGGGTAGCTTCCGACGGCGGCTCGCGGTTGCGGCGATTTCCGGCGGTGGACGGCGGCGGTCGGCGATGGTGGTTGGCCGGAAAATCAGAGATCTATGGGTTTGATCTATCTAACCTTAAGATCTTCTAATGTATGATTCAAACACCTACTCCGAAAAATCTTGGTGGGCAATTTTTCGGATCTCTCAAACTCTTAATATATAGCACACACAAAGACTCCTTCTTCCCTTAGGAATCCTTGTCTTAGGCGTGTGGAATTGTGTGGGGAGAGTCCAAGACATGGTGTATTTATAGACTACATTAGGAACCTTAAAGGAGGTGCTAAATATGGGCTTATCCCTTTAGGCTTAGGAATCCTAATCATATTCCAAATCCTTTCCCATATGGAAGTTCTATTTCTCCTAACTTCCATCACCCTTCTAGAAGACTCCAAAGTCTCCTAACTCTATGGTGAATATTCTAGAAGGAATATTCCTCTCCTAATGGAATCCAAATTATGGAATATAATTAATTCCTAAAATCCTAATTAGGATTAAATAATAAAACATTTTCACTAGAGTAATATTATTGCTCTCCCTATTTAGCTCCAATTCATTCAATAAATCAAACCTCCAAATGATTAATTATAAATAAATTAATGTCTGAGATTGGTTCCTCCCCTTGTTTTGTATCTCAGAAATAGTGTTTTAAAGACAAGAAAAATAAGAAAATTACGTAGATAAAGATAAAAAAGAAAAATAGGAGAAGAAGACGATTCGCCGACAGGATCAGACAATACTCCGACGGAGGATCGTCTGCNCCTCTTACTAGAGTTGATTATCTAATTGATTGAGTTACCTCCTGAGTTCATTACAATTAAATTAAATTGACTTCTTCATTCTGAAATCTGTACCACTCAGTTCATTAATAATTATGTCGGATAATTATCTACCTGCAGGGTTTGACATAATATTCCTTCCTGAGCTCATTTCAGGGACGTCATCAACCCAGCGTACTGGGACATAGTGACTGTAAATAATTTCTAATGGCACACTATATAAATATTCTTACTTACCAAAATAGCGAGTATGTCATCCTAACAGAATAGGAATCACCCTTGCTATATCAAATAAATAACTAATAAATATATATGCCTGTTTTATATTATCTTACAGCTTTAGAGAACGCATCAATCACTGAAGGTCTAGATTATAATAACAATCAGTAAATCTTATAATCTTATCCTTCCGCGGTCCGTTCAGTACTTATCATAAGTACTAGTGTAATCCATCAGTCAAAGATCAACTGAATCAAGACTACACTACAATTTTTTTCCAACATGGGTCTCACTGTCTGTCTAAACTGTGAACAATAAATTTATATTTTACAAGGAACCGATAATATGATCTTTCTGTTCGACACGACTAGAGCTGCACACGAGTCAAGCGGCTCGCGAGCGCTCGAGTCAAAGCTCGGCTCGAGCTCGAGCAGCTCGAGCACGAACTCGAGCCCATATTTTACATTGGCGCGCGGCTCGCGAGCGGCTCGAGATATATGGTAAAATACTAAAATACCCCTTCTATATATAATTTGACAAAAAATTTTGAAAATTTTCGAACCGAACTCGAGCATTTTGAATTCGAGTCGAGCTCGAGCTATTGTATTTTCTTATCGAGTCGAGCTCAAGCCTAAAAAATCAAGCTTAACGAGCTCGAGCAACTCAAAAAAAAAAAATCAATCCTGCTCGATAAGGCCAATGCTCGACTCGGCTCGGCTCGTTTGCAGCCCTAGACACGACGAACCATATTATCCATAGTGTAAAATAATGGAGTTATGATTGCATAAATAAGTAAACTGCAAACATAAATACTTTGACTAAAATATAATTGCCAGATCAAAATGGTATTGTTCATATCTGAAAGCCAAGTTTTTACAGCATATCTAACAATCTCCCACTTATGCTTAATAAGCTCATGGCTATCACTAACCATAATTTTCTTTCAATCTAATTCTCAAAGACTAGTCTACTATGTCGCCTATCGTCTGAGTCTCATCCCTTCTACGTGTCTCTCAAAGACTTTCGCCGGTAGGCTCTTCGTAAAAGGATCTGCTAGGTTGTCCTCCGACAATATCTTGGCAACAACGAGTTCCCCTCGTCCAACGATCTCTCGTATCAGGTGGTACTTGCGCTCTATGTGTTTACTCGCTTTATGAGTCTTTGGCTCTTTCGAATTTGCTACTGCTCCGCTGTTATCACAGAAAACTATAATCGCAGCGGGCAAACTCAGCACCACATCAAGATCGAGGAGAAAATTCTTGAGCTATATTGCTTCTTTCGCTGCCTCTGAGGCTACTACATATTCAACTTTCATGGTGGAGTCTGCCACGCATTTCTGCTTGACACTCCTCCATACTATGGCTCCTCCTCCTAAAGACAAGGCCCAAGTTGCACTATTTTCGATTATGTTGGAAGCTTCGTAAAGGACCACTAGGCTTGGAAAGGAAGAAAAGGCAATGAGAATGGTTGTTATCTTCAATGTGATGCATCTGTATGAGACTCTAAAATTAGTTTGGGAGGTTGGATAAAAATTCAGAAGGTCTGATAGTCGCAGTTTTTACATCCGATATGTTAGGTTTGTACTCCCCAACTTTGGTTAAGACTTTGTCTATTCGATTTGGGTTACGGTTCGCTTCTACGATTGGAGTGAAGATCCAACAAGTCACCACAGATTGCCTTGAAATAGTGCAAGGACTGATCCTGAATGTTTTGCATCACCCATTTGAGACATTTTCTCGAATATCCTGACACTCTTGGATTCATTAGAATGTGGACTCTGCTAGCATACCAAACGGATTCCTAATCAGATTGGTCACAACATTGCTAAGTGGGCAGTTGTGTCAAAAACCATGATAATGTGGACGAATCTTTTGTTCTTTGTTCTGTTAGAACTTGATGGTCTAATGGGGGCTATGAAGCCTGTTTTTACTAAAAAAAAAATGTATAGAGAATTTTTTATGTCCTTAAAAATAAAAATACAAAATTGGTTCCGCTAAAGATAATTACAATACAACCAACACATAAATGCCTACCACTTTTTATTGTCTATCCTGACAGTGACGGATCTAGAAATTTCACTCAGGGGGGCCCGATTTTTAATGTTAAATAACGAGCTCGTAGTTTAAGTCAAAACGCTCATTTCATATAAAAATATATTTATTATAAATATAAATATCGATATGTGTACCATCAAATTCTTAAAAACATAGAATTCCTATCACCCTCAGACTTCTAAAAAAGTATACAAAAAATAGAGATTTCATGAATTTGTAATTTACGGACACCATCTATAATTTATGAAAAAATAAGTTTTTTTGTTGAAAACTTGATTTAAATTAAAATTTCGCAGCACATTGCATAAAGTTTTGTTGATGAGAGCTTATCAAATATATATTTTTTAAGAAAAAAAATAAATAAAGTTAAAAATATGTGATTACACAAAGTAAAAAATCAATATTTAAAAACTTAACAATTCAACTAAATACTCGATTTTATAAATCAAAAAATCAATTTATAATTAAGAGATCGAAAGAGTAAATCATTATAAATATTTACAAAAACTCATTTAGAAATTTAAAAATATAATGTTTGTTTGTATGTTTAATTAAATAAATAATATTATTACTTTAAATTAAAATAGTATAGAAATAGGTTTTAATTATTAATATATTGTAAATATTTTTGAATTTATATACACAATTTATAGAATTATATATATATATATATATATTGACTTTTAAAAAAAATTCAGGAGGTCCATGGGCCTCGTGCAGCTCCGCCCATGTCTATCCACCATCTTGATTACTACAGAGCCAGAAATTGAGATATTACTTCACATTAAAAATTAAAAAACAAAATCATGGTGCATTGTTGATTCTAGCACCATCATCAAGTTCATGGCCTCAAAGTATTGCTCAAGGCCAAATAGTCGATCCTATAATAAGAAGAAGAGATCTTTCTCGATCATCCCCTTGCCCCTCATTCTTCGAGAATCAGATTTGTTAAATGATTGTTAAATACATATTTTTATTTTATCATTTATTTTGCTTTTTTGATATATATATATATATATATATATATATATATTTATATTTATATTAGTTGTTTATATTTAGTATAATATTATTGTTATTTGATATTTTTTATTATTTGGTTTCCTTTCTTGATAGGTTTTCTACTTGGAAATTAAGAGATAAGGAGAAAGATATATATCTTGTACATAAAAAGAGACCAAACAAAAAAACGAAACACATCAGATAAATATTGCGAAGGGGTGTGCAGAGATAAGGTGCAGGAATCATATTTGGCTGAGTGCATGAGATTGAGGGCTGGCTTGATAAGCACTTCATGATTTTTCTTGGAAAAGTTCGCGCGTGGCAGATAGATTAA